TTGTCCCCGGGCTCCCCCGGATCACCCTAGGCAGGAGGGGAAGGAGGGAGTGAGCCAGAGCAGCAGCAGCGCAGCGACCACAGGGGCACCAGCGCCGGTGGAAGACGGATGGACGCCCCCTGCGCGGTAGCTGGCACAGGGAGAAGAGGCTCAGCACGGCCCTGTCCTCTGCCCAGAGCAGCGCCCTGCACACGCCACGGGCAGGAGGGGACAGCCCCTCGCAGCATGGACAGACGGACAGATGGAGGGGTGACACCTCGCACAGTGCCATTACCTTTGGGCCGCTCCTGCCGGTGAGGCCAACGATACCCTGGAGGTCAGAGAGGGAGGACACGGGTTATCGGGACTGCAGCAGCCCTGATGCCAGAAAAGGGCCTAGGGGTGCAAGTCTGCACCCCGGGGGGCACAGCCCCAGCCCCACACCCTCACCCCAGACTTACCCGGTCGCCTTGCTCCCCTTTGGGGCCGGCTGGACCAGGGATGCTCAGGCCAGGGGCGCCCTGGGCACAAGGAGAAGCAGGTTGGGGCAGCAGGAGGGGACCCGCGGCCGGCCCAGGCCAGGGGCAGCCTGCGCCCCCAGGTCAGCCCCGGGCAATACTCACGGGGGCACCTTTATCTCCTGCGTTGCCCTTGGGGCCAGGGGGCCCCTCTGGTCCCGCAAAGCCTCTGTCACCCTGCAGTGGATGAAACAGCCCCGTGAGCCTCCCCCTCAACCGCACGGGGGGGACGGGGGATGGCCATCACTTTGGCGTCCCCAGCCTGTCCGGGAACTGCCCCACACAGTACCCCTTCCTGGGGGTGCAGAGCCCAACAGCTTCCCCGTGCCCTCCGTGGCCACAGAGGTGCAGGCAAGGGGCAGCACCCGGTGGGCACGGCACAGCACCGCCACGGTTACCTTCTCTCCTTTGACACCAGCCACGCTGGAGGCCTGGGGGGAAGCAGAGAGGACAGCGCTGTGCACGGCTTCCTGCCCAGGGGGATGCGTCCCCCATGGCTCCCCGGGGAAGCACCTACGCCCCAGCTCTGCCCCCATCACCTGGGGGTCAGGGGGTGCAGGTGGACCACCACCAGGAAGGCATCACTTACCGGCTTGCCAGGTTCACCGGGTGCTCCCGGATCACCCTGCAGGAGAGACGGGTGTCAGCGCCAGCCCACTCCCCAGCAGCCCTGCCAGATCCCCCTCTTCTTCCTCACCTTCTCTCCTCGCGCGCCAGC